TAGCCACAGAACGGGCATGGCAGCAGCGAGGCAGGCTCTTGCAGCCACACATGCCTGCACAACCCAGAACAGGTACCTCAGCCCAGAGCAGAGAGATACCTTCCAGTAATACACTCTAAGGGTTGTGCTTGGCTTTTTGCCCACCCCTTCTAACATCAGGGCTGTATGTAGAGGGAAATGCATCACAGGTTTGCTGAAACTGACCCTGGTTCAGATAACTGACAGCCAGGGCATGGTAACAGTGCTCGTTGTCCTTGGGCTGACTACTCTCTTGCTCCAGAGCATTTCAGGAACCTTTCCGCCTTCCCCTCAAATTATATCCTCCACCACAAAACAAAACAAAACAAAGCCAAACAAACAAAAAAAAGCCACTACAGTTATTTCCAGGTATCACCACAGAGCAGGTGCCAGGCCATAGCAAGCAATGCTAACATGCCCCTCCTTCTGATCTGAAAGCTCAGAAGTCCCAGACTGAGACTGAGCTGCATCTTATTCTGGGTGAGGACTGGGCAGACACACAGCTGAGACTGTACTTGCATTCAGACAGCAGTCTGAGATTCCCATCAAGACTGCAGGTCCTGCTCCACTGAGCACCACGTACAGGTCTTTCAGGCCAGCTTGGCTTCACTGCCAGGAGGAGAGGATCTGTCTGTTTCCAGAAAGCTGGCAGGAAACAGCTGCAGGTTTATAAAGCACGGTGATTCACACAGGGATAGCAGGCCATGAATCAGAAAGCAGTAAGAGCTGTCTCCTGTTTGATCTAACCTTCCTAGCCAAGAGCAGAGCTGATGGCACTGGCTGCCTCCGCATGCTTAATGACTCACCCAGTGAGCTATTCACGGAAAGACAGCTCCCTCCGGACCCTCTTTTTGGAAGTCATGTATTTGTGCTCCTTGCCTCCCACAGGGTGTCCTGTTGCCTCCCCTCCCCTGCAAAGACAGGGTCTGGCTTTAGGGAGCTACACTGGTCTTCAGAGGAAGCAAGTGAGGGCAGGGGACCTTGGTGAAATGTCTCTCCCAGAGAGGCCAGGCAGTGGAGAGGGGAGCCACAATCTGTCTCACAGGCTAAGGGTGACTGGGGACTCTGAGCCTCATGGTCCCAAAAAGCACAGAGGTGTTGATCTGTGCCACAGCACCAAGATGAATATGTAGGGCCTTATCCTGAATTCAACGACATGACCAGGTTCTCTTGGCTTCAGTCATCTTTATAACAGACCCCCAGAAGTGAGACAAACCACTGTTGAAACCAGACAAGAAGAAGCAACATTAAGTAATACACATGCTTATGGTCTATGTTAAAACACTGAGGCAAAGGTCTATTCTGAATCACATTGACAATTACAAATGATCTCTCCGGTAGACAGAAAACGGCAAGTTATGTCACAGGGGTGTATTTACAAATGCATAACAACATATTAATTATACCTGAGCTTCATAATGGGAAGTGCTTTGCTAACTGAAAAAGTGGTTAGAGGACCAAAAGCACTTCTGTAATGAAATTCACTTGGTCCAGTCCAATCAACAGTAGCTTCATGGGCAAGTTATATTTAAGCAAGCCAGTCACTGGATACAGGCTGTGAAATTTAGCTATAGAATGGAGAGAGGTATTCCTGTGCAATGTAACAAGGAGAAATAATGCTTTAAAACTAAATGCACAAAGAGAAAAAGAAAACAAGAACAAACTCAGTGTGACAGAACCTGCACATGAATCCAAATCTCCACTCCAATACAGACTTTCTGCATGAACTTGGGCAAGTCCCTTAGTGTGTCCCTTGCCTCTGCTCTTCCTCCCCAGTGCAGGACCCTCACCTTTCTCTAAACCCAGTGATGTTGTAAGGATCTACACAGAGAACCCCTGCTGATAGAATAATGCCAACTGCAAGGCATGACAAACTCCAGGTGACTGGTGTATCGGCAAAAGCCCTACAGCAACACATTTTCACTGTCTCAAGTGCTTTTGTCAGTATAGGCTATTTTAGCCAGTGAACTGGAACAACCTCTTTTGGGGTTAGTAAAATCCACACTCATTCTGCCCTGTCTGACTGCAAGCCACAACCTTCCAGGTGGGTAAGAACACACAACGTATGACTGCCAGGCAAGGCAGGGGTCAATTCAAAAGTGAAACCATTCCACAGCCTGATCTTCTTGGGTTCTCATCCTACTGGACTGAACCCTTATGTCAAACCAGGCAACATGAACATACCAGAAGTTGAGCAGTTTGGCTCCAGTTTTGGATGCTGAGCACCTGGGAACACAAACACTGCACAAACAGCTCTTTTGTTGTGCTGAGCCACCTAAAATCTCAATGGCAAGGCTTGCTCTGGTTATCCCACATCAGACCACTGTCGCAAATCAGATCACTGTATTTTTATTTGCTGTCCCAAAGGCACATACAGGCACATACACCCCAGCGCAGAAAGCACGTGGCCTGAACGTATGCACACTCCTGCTGGTTAGACATTCATTTAGTCATCACAGGCACTGCTTGGTACATTTGTCTCAACTTGCACAGTAACAGTACTTAATTAAACAGCAAAGAAAGCCAGGCCTGCAGGCTTTTGCTGCACAACCTGCCCTAAGGCAGCATCTGATGGATGGGGAAGAAACAATGCCAAAACAAATGAAATAGCTCCCAGGCCATTAAAAGCATCATTACTTTTAAATATTGATTTTTGAATGATAGAAAGAAAATTGGTACCCAGCGCACCAGTGATGTCTACCTCATAGATAACTTGCATGCCAGAAGTTAGGTAACTTCTAACATCTTTGCCAATGCACACAGGAAAGACTTGCTGCAGGAAATCCTGCTGCACTAGGCTGATATGAAAGTACAGTTCCAAAGGGCTGCAAGTCCAACATTGTCAGCCCCCTGCTAATAAAGTCACCTCACACACCCAGTGGGCATGCTGATGGCCTGGAGCGCAAGGCTCAACCTT